GGGATGCCAAGAGAGAAAGAGAGTCACAGAGCCACTTCCCTGGAAGAGGCGGTGGCAGCAGCTGCTGTTGGTGGCTTGGAGGCGCTCTATGAGGACGGGCTGGGAGCAAGCTCCGTTCTCAGGCATCACTCGGCGGTGGCTCGGGTGCTTGTGGAAAATGGCCGGCAGTGCACCTCACTTGCCAGCTCTTCCCCGGGCTGGCTGGCAGCCTGCAGTTCTGGATGGAGGGTGCAAGAGGTGCTGTCTTGGGAGACAGCCGGCGAGCCAGGCGAGGCTTTTTTGACTCTTGACAGCAGAGGATGCGTGGGCACTTTGGGAGGGCAGGCAAGGTGGGGACCACGAACTATCATCCAGTGGGCCGCAAATGGCCCCCCGGGCCGCATGTTTGAGACCCCTGCTGTAGAGCAATGTTTAATTTCCAGAGTACACTTCAGATTCTCTCAGCAGTTTGATCCCTTTGGCTGTTCTACTTGATTGATTTGGTTTTTATTAGTTATTGATTCAGTATTTTATATATTACATTTGAGTTGGCCTTTGTGGCATGCTTTAGATTTATTTCCATATTAATCACCTTGCCATTTTATCCACTGAATGTTGTTTAAAGGGATTTTATTTATTTTGCTTATTTTCTCTCACAAAAGAATTAAGTGGATCAAAAAATGTGAAAGGTATCCATCTTGGAACAATAAAACCACAACTAAAATAAAAGCAAGATACTGAATTTAGAACAGTCAGAAAAGGGAATAAAAATATGTGCGATATGTTTTCATTTCATTCCACCCCTTCTATCTTCCAAAATATTCACCAAGTCTCTAGTAGGAAACCAAGTGGGTTTTCTGATGGTGAGAGTACTGACAAAAATACTGGGGGTGGGGAATACATTTCTTTTGATACAAGAAATAGGTTATAAATGCTTTAAATAAAATTCTTGATCATCTAAGGCAAGGGTGGGGATACCTTTGTCCTGTGTTGTGTTCTTGCCTGCAGTTTCTGACAGTTGTAGCCAATACGGAAGGATTATGGGATGTGAATTTCCCAAATGGATAGAAGAAACAATTATCCTCCCTTGAAAGTTCTGCCAGCACAGAGCATTGGCTGGATAGGTAAACAGACAAGTCTGGAGTTATTTTTTAGAGTAACACTGGAATCTGGGTTCAATGGAGCCATGTAATCATCTTTTTTTTCCACCCCTCCCTCATAGCCATGCTTTCAAACCTCAAAAGGCTCATCCATTGTTTATATGCCAGGCTTACCTCTTGCTTATGTACCGTTCTTTGTCATGTGTCTGTAATCAGGTGATGGATATATTAGAGAGGGACATATCCAGCTGAAGCACTATGGCACTTATCCTTTGTGTCCCTAGGACATCATAGATAATGGGCAGCTCTCAGTGTTTTATGGTACCTGCTGGAACAGTGGTTCTTAACCTTTGTTACTCGGATGCTTTTGAACTGCAACTCCCAGAAACCCCAGTCAGGACAGCTGGTGGTGAAGGCTTCTGGGAGTTGCAGTCCAAAACTCCTGAGTAACCCAAGGTTAAGAACCAGTGTGCTGGAAGATATCAGTGTGCTTAGGACAGACGCCTGTTCCACAAAATATCAGTCAGCCCTTAGGGAGATTTCACTGCTTTTTGTACTTCCTTCCATTTCTGTCTCTTGGTCATGATTAACAGATATTATATATTAAAGATAGTGGCAGCATGGATGGATGTGGGAGAAAGAAATAATCTAAGCAAAACTGGGGTAGGGGAGAGCACAAAGAAGCACAAAGGAAGCATGTCCCCCCTTCCACCTGGCTTTTGCCTTCAAGAAGATAATTCTTCCTGACTTTTGTGACCACATTTTGGCAGCTTGTGAAACCACTCCCTCCCCAAATACAAATACAAATATGTATGTATGTATGTATGTATGTATGTATGTATGTATGTATGTATGTATGTATGCATGTATGCATGTATGCATGTATGCATGTATGCATGTATGCATGTAATTTTATTTTATTTTATTTTATTTTATTTTATTTTATTTTATTTATTTACACCCCGCCTATCTGGTCGATATGGCCACTCTAAGCAGTTAAGTGATTGATCACACAGATCACACAGTATATACAGTGGTGCCTCGCTTAATGATTACCTCGTTAAACGACAAAACCGCTATATGATGACTGTTTTGCAATCGCAAATATATTCCCTATGTATGCATGTATGCATGTATGCATGTAATTTTATTTTATTTTATTTTATTTTATTTATTTACACCCCGCCTATCTGGTCGATATGGCCACTCTAAGCAGTTAAGTGATTGATCACACAGATCACACAGTATATACAGTGGTGCCTTGCTTAATGATTACCTCGTTAAACGACAAAACCGCTATATGATGACTGTTTTGCAATCGCAAATATATTCCCTCTATATTTGTCATACCAGTTGTTCTTACTGTTGTTTAGGTTAGTGGTAAGGCCTAGCTGAGGAGTAAATGTTGCCCTTGCATTGCCAGCTTCAGTTGAATTGCTGTGCTGAGCCTCTCTCACATCTTTGGGAAGTGGGACTCTCCAGCACTTGGATATCTTTTCCTGGTCCCAGTTAGGGCTACTGTGATGTTTCAGCACCATGGTCAGCTCCTGAAGATGGCTTGTGTCTGCTGCTTCTGAACTAGCCTTTGAGTCTAGAATGAGCACAGTTCCTTCTTCGAATCTTTAAAAAGAATCCCAGTGATATCACTGACAAAAAAAAAATATTGTTTCTGTACTCTCTTCACAGATCTCATTTGTGAGTGCTTGGTTTGAAAAGCACCAGTATTTCCCCATTACCTTTAAAAAATAAAATGACCCAGCATGGCTAATTTGTTGCTTCCTATTCAGTCTTGGTGAATGTTGCTGTGGCATTCCTGAATTGTTTTTAATTATTCTATTACAGTTCCTTGTATGGGGGTGGGGTTTTAAATTATTGGTTTCTTCATTACAGTCACAGCAATTTCTCATTAATTTTTAAAATTGCTTTTCTGTGGGGGATATTTTGCAATTGTGATCCTAAAATTAAAATCTTTTTTAAAAAAATTAAATAAATTAATATGCAATTGTTCTGACTCCAAAGAAGAAACTAGTAATTAAACTCTCTCCTTGTCTTTCTAAAGGGAGCAGGAACAGATAAATTAAGGGCAATTCATGATTTCCATAGCAATTGAACTGGAAGTGATTTAATTCTGTGCTCCAAAAGACAAGGAGGAAGCTGTGATTTGAGAGGCAGCTGCAGGAAGAAGTAGGGCCTTATAATGATGGGTCTAACTTTTGAGTAAGCATAGAATGGGAACCAGGCCCCCAGGTAGTAGACATTGCCAAGATTTCAGTGGGGCAAGTAGTGTAATGATAAGAGGTGTCTGGAATTGCCATTGTAATTCTGGCTCCATCTCAGTCTAAAAAGCAGTTTTCACAATATTAGAACCCTAGCATGGAAGCTACAGTATTTATTTATTTATTTATTTATTTATTTATTTATTTATTTATTTATTTATATCCCGTCTATCTGGTCGGTTAAGACCACTCAAGGCAGCTAACAACATAAAATAAAACAGTGAATATATATAAAACAGTTTTACATAAAATAAACATAATAAAATAGACAAATAGAAGGGAGAAAGAAGGCATCAGGGATTGATTGGAGGGAAGGCCTGCCGAAACATCCATGTTTTAAGTTGATTTTTAAAGGTACCCAGCAAGGGGGCCACACGAATCTCAGGAGGTAGGTTGTTCTAGAGGTGAGGAGCCACCACCGAGAAGGCCCGATTTCTTGTCTTTTCCTTCCAGAAAAGTTGGTGCCACCACAGTCTTGAGAAAATTCTGATCAGGTAAATACTTAGGGTCAGTCTCTCAGCTCTCTTGATATGACATTCCCAGCATGGTACTGCTTTTGTCTTCTCTCGGTTTGGAAATATCTCTGGTAGAATCATACCAATGATAATCTTCCTAGTTTCGCCTCCTGGTAAGAAATTTTCCAGTAGTAACTTAGCTCCCCTTCAATGGGTTTCATCCAAGTAGTTCTGTCTTACAGCTAACAGGCAAACCTGAGCATGGCACTCATCATTAGATAAATGCTCTGTGGTATTTGAATCCAGTAGGTCTGTGCCTAAGAGCATCTCTGCATTTGGGAGAGAGGTTGTAGCCCAAAGTACATTTCCAACACTTTGAAGTATAGCATGTGTTCTCATACCTGACTTGCTTAAAGCATTACTGTGATTTCATTGTCATTGTTTAGTCGTGTCTGACTCTTCGTGACCCCATGGACCAGAGCATACCAGGCCCTCCTGTCTTCCACTGCCTACCGGAGTTGTGTCAAATTCATGTTGGTTGCTTCGATGACACTGTCCAACCATCTCGGTCCTCTGCCGTCCCCTTCTCCTCTTGCCTTCACACTTTCCCATCAGGGTTGATTTCCTTTAGAACTGATAGGTTTGTTCTCCTTGCAGTCCAGGGGATTCTCAAGAGCCTCCTCCAGCACCACAATTCAAAGGCATCAATTCTTCGGCGGTCTGCTTTCTTTATGGTCCAGCTCTCACTTCCATACATCACGACAGGAAAAACCATAGCTTTGACTATTCGGATTTTTGCTGGCAAGGTGATGTCTCTGCTTTTTAAGATGCTGTCTAGGTTTGTCATCACTTTCCTCCCCAGAAGCAGGCGGCTTTTAATTTCGTGGCTGCTGTCTCCATCTGCAGTGATCATGGAGCCCAGGAAAATAAAATCTGTCACTGCCTCCATGTCTTCCCCTTCTATTTCCCAGGAGGTGATGGGACCAGTGGCAATGATCTTAGTTTTTTTGATGTTGAGTTTCAGACCGTTTTTTGCACTCTCCTCTTTCACCCTCATTACAAGGTTCTTTAATTCCTCCTCACTGCGACAGCCACATGGAATTCAGCCTATGATCATCCCTTCTCTGAGTTAATTCTCCATTTGGCAGGGAAAATCTGGTTTCTTCCTTAATTTCTTTCTTTCTTTATAGGCTGCCTGTTTGACAGAAGACTGTGCTCCCAGCAAGAAGTCTGTGTGCAAGGTAAGTGGAGTTAGTTACTGGAGGTTTTAATACTGATTGGGATAGGGGAGAAAGCATGCCCTGCCTATTGCTGAGGAGTGCAGTAATAATAGCTCATCCTTCATTTTTGAGGAAGACCATCTCCATCAAATTAAAATTCACCATTTATGGTTTAAAAAAAAGAAAGAAGAAGAAGTGGTGAGTGGTCCAGGTTAGGGAGTGGCATGTTGATGGACATGTAGGTGACTAGTTGCCCAGTACAAGCCTGGAAGATAAAGAAGACCTGGGAGTGGGTTAGCTGATCCTGGGTTTGTTGGACTGTTGCTATTTGTGCTTTCTCATCTCGCTTATCCTTTGTGCATCCTTGATTCTATGTATTTCAAATTATTTAGCCCCTTGTTTGACAGTGTTTCACCAGACACTTCTGTTTTGGGTGAGACTTTTTCCAAGACTCCTGTTGCTTTGGGGTGATGTACGAGTATCCTGGTTGGGCAGATTCTTGGTGTTCTAGTCCAGAAAAATGATGTTTCCAAGTCCTGGACTGAATCTATTGCTTTTCTCTTTCCATGTTGACATGTGTCTGTGATATACTGTTTGAGATTGAACTTAGCCTTTTGGGTAATTTAAACGAGTGGTCCATTTTGGGTGTTTAAGTAAAGCAGGGGAAGGGGGAATTTCTTATTTATCCCTCCATAAAGAAATGATTTTCCTTTCCCTGTGTCTCACAGTGCATATCTCTGCATGTTTGCTTTTAAGAATGTCTTAGTGAGTATACTATAGTTTGCTACCCAAAGGGTGCACCCAGGACTACAGTCTCAGATGTGCCCCTTAGCTTTCATAGGATGGGCATTGCCAGTCAGTACAAATGAATTTATGTTGTTACTATCTTTTCACCCATGTTTTACACCAGCCTGGCAGTGCATTGTCCTGTGTGGCTTCTCCTCTTCCTTGCCCAAGCTTTCCCCCTTTTGGGTTGCATGGCAGCTCATCCTGTGGCTGTGTTGTGCTTACAGATGGCTTGTTTGGTCAGTGCCAGGAGAGCTCACAGAGAGATCGTCCTTACTTCCAAGTCACCGCCCCTGTGCTCCAACGTCTCCAAGGTGTGCTTCGGCACCTTATGGCACAAGGTGAGCATCTCCCCGGTATGAGTGAACAATTGGAAAACAGGCGGACACAGAACTACAGAGGAAGAATAGCCTTGGGACCTATATATTTTTCTTACATTTATATCCAGCTTTGTCTCTAAGGATGTCAAGGCAGTCTTCATGTTTGCAACCACTCTGTCAGACTGAAAAAGAGATTTCCAGAGAAGTAACCATGTTGTTTCATGGAAGATGTACCAGTGAGCTCACACTGAAATAAATCTGTGAATCTTTAAAGTATTACAGTATATGGCCCTTTTGAATCTCCTCCGCCTCCCACTGCTTTATTTTTGCCAATGTGCTGAAAGAGAGAGATTTATTCATGGTCACCCAGAGAGTTTTGAGGCCTATCCCAGATGGACCCAGTCTGTCCCAGTGTTTTCCTGCCTATTTCTGTTAAATCCCACTTCCCCTTTTCCTATGTATGCCTTTGGGGCTGATGAACTAGAGCATCACTAGATGCTAGAATAATTGTTCTTCGTTGTTCATCTCCCTCCTAAGGGTTGGAGAACATGCATCCTTTCAGTGCTGGGTGCAGGGTTTGTCTTATTTTCTTGGCAGGCTTGTCATGGCAGGATGACCTTACCCAGTACATGATCTCGCGGGAGATGGAACGCATCCCCAGGGTTCACCTTCCACCTTCCTGGGAATCTGTGGCTGAGAACAGGTAGGTGGAACATTTTGGCTTGTGGTGTGAGCTTTCACTGAATAGGTGTCTTCCGTTTTTAGCTCATATCATCTGGTCAGAACTGGAGGCCATCTCTTCCAGAGAATTGTTATCCATTGGTCTTTCAAGCTACTAATTTTTAGGAAGAGCCAGCAGCCACCTTTCAAAGAAGCCATCCCAGACTGTGCTTATCTCAGCTAAGACCCAGGGTTATTCGTGGTCAAGCAGCTGGAAGTTGCTGCAGCTGGAATGAGAGCAAGGACTTTAGGCTTCGATCCTGCCTACCAGGGTGGTGTGTGGTGTAAGGGAGGGAACAACTTGCCAGATATTGTAGGAATGCAGCTCGCAACATTCCTTGCACTTGGCTATGTTGGCTGAGGCTGATGGGAACTGCAGCCCAAAAACATTTGGAGGATGCAGTTTACCCATTCCTTGTGAACATTTTACCTGGAAGTAAGTCCCACTGAAGTCAATGATGGTTACTTTTGAGTAGCTGCATATAAGATTGTACTACTTGTATTCTAAGATGGAAAGTCTCTAGGATGTCATTCTCTGGACTCCCGTGCTATGACCTCTGAAACAAAAACAAGGCTACCTATTATTTTAGCTGCTTCCTTGTGTCCTTTAATACAGGGCTCCCCTGCTCCAGATCAGGATCACAGATTAAAAGGGATTTAATCCACTTCACTCCTTGCATTGCTCCCGGGCTAGGATCACAGGCTTGGCAACAGTTTATGTTGTCCAAAAACAGCCCATTCATTTTAATGGTTTATTTTTGGCAATGCACATTGCCAGTGAGGAAACCCCCCCCCGATCAAACTGGAAGCAAAACTGTATTGGAAAGTTTAATGGTTTCTCACTTCGCACTCTAGGCACCCATATACATCGGGGAGATGAGTGCTGGACATTTATACATGCAATAGTACACATGCCCAGAATTAGATAGCAAAGGTGGTATGGTCCTTATTGTGTTGGAGTGGGAGACGTTGCCTGCAGGGAGAAAGTGAGAAATAGAGGCTCTGGCTGTGATGATATTCTAAGGTGCCGAAAAATATATATATATATTGTTGGATCAGAAAACGGGAGCCCTTGATCCACAGTACGGGTGATAATGAAATATTCTGTCCTCTCCCCCTGGACTGTTCTCTTCCAGACTCCCACCTCTGCCTCCCAGGGGATCTTCTTTGCCATCTGAGCCTGCCTCGCTCCAGACAGCTCATCAGCCCCCTCTCCCTCCTGCCCTCCTGCAGCGGTACCTGGAGCTGCTGCTGGCTTCCCAGCCTGAATTAGGTTACAAGGATGCATTCCTTTCCTCTCACCCCCATCATCAGGTGTGTCTTTCAGTAAGGTTGCATATAGAGTGGCTTGTGGGGCAGTAGCCCTGGCAGACAAATGGAATTTCTGGTGAATCAATCTCTGTTGTTTTTTTTAAGTCAGTGATGAGGAATGTGTGTCCTGCCAGATGTTGTTTCGACTGCAACACCCATCATCCCTCATCACTGGTTATGCCAGTTAGACTCCAGCAGCATTTGGAGGGCCACAGATTCCTTACCTTGATTTAATGCAGCTTGTTTTAAATAGCTTTATTTTAAATACCTTCTTTCAAAATTGCCCCATTAAAATCTGGGATTTTTTTCATAGAAATATAGGAAGTTGCATTGTGTATGAAGAGATATGCATGTGCCCACAGAGGCCGCTGTTAGGTGCATTCAGCTCTATTTGGACTGGCTCAAGATAGAAATCCTTCCATTTTTAGTGGAGTTGCCAAGAACTCAAGCTGGAAACTTAGATATGCAAAGCATGGATTGTGCTCATATGCCATGGTACCTCCTGCATAGGAAGTCTAATAAAAGTACCATAATGTCTCTGTGTCAACATGCTGAGTTAAAGGTGGCTAACATTTTGCACTTCTAAGTGAAGATTTTTAACTCTCCTTTATATTTACTGAGACGCCCCCCTGTCCCTAGAGGCCACCTCCAGTTACTGCAAACTATGCTGAGCAAGATGATGAACCAGTATCAGGCTCCACGTGAGACTAGTTTCTCATTTATTTCTCTTTGGCCTTTTCTGTGCTTCTGTTTCAGTTCAGCTACTCTGACAGCACTTTTCAGGACAGCCCCAGCGTTCACAACCCAGAGCCTCCTATCCTCCCGGACCGAGCGGCTGCTTCTAAGGCCCTCTTTGGTGTCAGCACTGCCCCTTCCTACAGGGGGCAGCAGGGATTGGATGGAGGTCAGCTTTTCCAAGACCTGGGAGCACTTTACTTGACCCAAGGGCAGGCAAGTAAATACAGACCCAGGACTCAGCACAAGCAGGATTTCAGGAAAGATGGCAACCTTCAGGACTTTGAGGATAACTCCGAAGATGGAGTGGAGACACAGACACTGTTGGAAGACCCAGGTGAGCTTTTTTGGAATGTTCTTCCTTGGGGAGGGGAAGCACTTTGGAGCAGGTCTTGGAGAAGTTACATTTTTAGACAATGGTTTCCTGAATTCCCATGATGCTGAGGGCATTCTGGAACTGCAGTGCCCGAAAGACAGCTTTCCCAAGTTTTGGCCCTGGTGATCTTTGGGATGCAGCAGGTACATTTTCAGCATTTCCACCATTCTCCACACAGACAGAGCTGTACAGAGACTGATGGCAGTGCTTGCCAGCTACGGGATTAGGCCACAAGACATGATCCGGCTCCTGCAGGATCCAGGTAAACAAGGTGAGAATGGTGTCATGAAGAGGATGGTCAGTAAAGAGGAAGAGTTGCCTCTGGAGATAAAATTGAACACCTTTTTGGCTATGCCCAAAGGAGCCTCGTGTTGCAGTGGTTAATCTGTGGTATTGCAGTCAAAACTCTGCTCACAGTTAGCATTCGATCCCAGCAAATTCTGGCAGCTGGCTCAGCCTTCCTTCCTTCTGAGGTTGGTACAATAAGTGCCCAGCTCACTGGGGTAGGGTGGGGGGAAGCAGTGTGTACCCTGTGTAACTAAATTGTAATCCACCCAGAGAGTGCTTTAAGTGCTACGGGGCAGTGTAGAAGTAGCTTTTTTTTTAAAATGAAGATTACGGTCTTCTGTGCTGCAGCTGTTCTAATGCGCAGCACACTTTGCTTTTTTTAAAAAAAAAATGAAGGTTACAGTCTTCTGTGCTGCAGCTGTTCTAATGCAAATCCTGCATCAAACAATCCAGAGCTAAATTTGAGCTAGAACCTGTTAGTCTAGAACCTGTTATTCTCTGTTAATGTGGATGTTGGACTACAACTTCTATTATCACTGACTACATGTTGGCTGGGGCTGATGGGAACTGGATTCTTACAACATCAGGAGGGATACTTGTTCCCTGCTTCTCTTTTGCTCTCTGTAACCCACATATGGCCTTGATCCCGCACACCTATTTGCTAATACTGAACACAGGGTCAACAGCAGACAGTTGGACTTCCAGGCAGGCTTGAGCTTTCATATTTCCCATCATGAAAACCAAATTTCTCTCCACAGTTGTTGGGTTTGGACTGGAGACCCCGGAGTCCAAGAGGGTAAGTACAGCGATCTTATAAACACACGGGGCACTCTCTTCCCATAGAAAGCAGCAGTGCTGGCGTGAAAGAGGATCTTGGAGCAGCAGCTCAGTCCAAGCCAAAGGATTGAGCTGCTGCTCCAAGATCGGTCAGGCAAAAGTCATTTTGGACTACTCTACGCAAAATCCTCCTGTCAATGGAAGATTATGGGTGTTGTTTTCCAAAAGTGATTTTGCTACAGTATATCAAATGGGAGACTCGGGGCTGTGAATGTTGGGGATTTCCCAGACGGTACCTTTGGCTCAATAACATGAAGCATGGAAAAGGCTGTATAGAACCAGAGGGGAACCTGTCTTCTACTGAGTCAGGTAATTGATCCATCTAACCTAGTTCTGTCAAAACTGGTGGGCAGTGGCACCGACCCACAGAGGCCCCTCAGGAATGTTGAGATGTCTTTTTTCCACTTGTTTCCTGGAGGTAAAATGCACCAGAGGGAATGGGTCCCTGGATTGACCCCTTGCTCTGAGAAGGAGACACAGTCAAAGTACACTAGACCTGTACCGTCTGCTGCAGCTAGTTTCGGGGAAGAACATGTATGGGCAGAACAGACAGGTTTAGCTTGAAGTTTGGGAGATTTGTGAGGTCAGTTGGAGTCAAGAGCAGAAGGAACAGATCTTGCAAAAGCTATGTTTTCAAACTATAGCCAAACTGAATTTGTCTGCTAGGTAGGGGAGTCCTGGGGTTGTACACCTACTTTTACCAAGGCCTTAGCAATTATGAAAGGGGGCTGCTGGGGCTGGAAATTATGATCATTGAAATTGCTGGGTACAGTGACTTATACCACCTCTTCCCCTGCAGGCAACAGAAGCTGAAATGCAACACGGGGAGGAGCTGGAGCCCCCACCCTCTCAACAGGGCTACATTAGCACTCTCCCCACAGAGGGACAAATACAGGCACAGGGGGAGACGCTTGGCCCAACCGAAGCCAAGATGGCAATGACAACATCTTCCCCAGAAGAGCATGAACCCATGCATCCAAATGAGAGGGACACAGGAGGTTCTGTGGGGCAGGTGATGGAGAAGAAGAGCCACACAGCATACGGAGGGCCTAGCAAGGAGTTGGGCCGGTCAGAGACAACACTGGCTGCTGAGGAATATGGCTACATCGTCACTGACCAGAAGTGAGAGAGGGTGCAGGGGCCTAGGAATGTGGGAGGGACTGAGTAATGTGGGTGGGGCCCCACAAGGGCGAGGGAAGTCCTCTTGAGTTTGGGGAGGTGAGAATAGATGCACTTGTCTAAACTAGGCATGAAGTGAAAGCAAATGTATATGACATTGGTGAAAATGGTTAATGCAAACAGATGTGTCAATACAGTATAAGCTATCCACATACGTACCAGTAGTTGGTGCCACTAGTTTATTACTAATATGTTGTGCTATCCACATACGTACCAGTAGTTGGTGCTACATAAAACAAGAAAATGTTTATTACTAATATGTTGGTATGGTTTGTGAAATGCATTGCATTAGAGGGTGTGGTAGAATGCAAGAAAATGAGAAGAGGGAAGTTATAATAGGGGTGGAGTCTAGAATCCAAGGGGAGGTATATAGAGGCAGTGATGAAGAGCAGGTTGGGGTGGGAGAATAAAGGATGCTGTGATTAAAGTGTCTTTTCCAAGCTCTGAGTGGAATCCTCTTGACTCTGGGTGAAGCTGTGATTGGCCAAATTGCAAAGGTATTTCCAGGAAGGATGATGGAAGAGACCAGTGTGCACAAATGGGGGAAGGCTTTGTGTCTGTATTGGGTCTCCTATGCATGCTTTCCACTTTGTCTCCTGAACTCCTCTGTCTCTGCCACCTACAGCCCACTGGGTCTCGCTGCTGGCATCCGACTCCTGGAAATCCTGGCAGAGCGTGCACACTTATCTACAGCCAGCTTCATCAACATCAGGCAAGTGCCGGGTCTTAGCTGAAAGATGGGGATCCATAAAGGAGCCAGATGGCAGGCCTGTCTCTAAGGTCACAGCCTGTGCCTCCTGGTTGGCGGGCCTTCAGGGTCTCCCCATTAACTTTTGGCTAGTTGACAATCTATTGTCCCAGTACATTCCCATTGCTGGGGTGACAGGGACAGTCCTCATAGCACAAATAAACAAAGTTTATTGACCTAGCGAGGGAATTGAAGAGCCTATTAGTCACAGTCTCTTTTCTGCTCCTTTCACAGATGGTTGTTTGTATTCAGTGAGACTGAAGCTTGGCCTGACCCTTTGGGGTATCCATGATCATGGCTGTGGCCTTGCTTCTTGAAGCAGAACAAAGCTTTCATCAAACATCAGCTTTTGACTGGTGAATGGGAGGGTTCTCTTGAGACAGTCCCAAGTAAACAAACCCACCAAAGAGAAGAGTAGCCAATGGGGACAGAGGCAGCTGGCAGGAATCGGCAGAGGGTGGTGTGCTTTGTGGGTAAACAGTACATGGGGGGTGGAAGCAAGAGCCTCGTAACCTCAGACTTCTCTCTCCACAGCGTTGTGGGCCCAGCTCTTACCTTCCGCATTCGTCAAAACCACCAGAACCTGTCACTGGGTGATGTGGCCAATAGGGCTGGTAAGTGGTTTGCGAATTGTTTTGCAAGATGCAGGAAAAGCTGTAGGGTCATAGGCTCGCTTACTTGTTTATTTATTGACAAATATGTATAGTTTGCTTAGATACAAAGATTTTAAAGCGTTGTATAACAGTAAAAAAAAGCATAAGCAGTACACAAAATTGAAATATTGTGTTTAAGCTGTCCATGAAATATTTGGAAGGTTGGACTACACGTGGAAGACCTGCAAAAACAGTAAGTTTTCAACATGCATCTAGAAATAAAAATGGCTAGGTGATGTCCAGTATTGGAGGAAAGAGTGTTTCCCATTGTCCCCTTCCAGAATCTCACAAGGGACTGATTCTTCTAGAGATGCATTCCACTCTCTGCTGACTCGGTAAAACTACAGCTGTTCTCCCCGCTCCCCATGACCATCCATTTCCCAGCTCACAACTTGAAAAACTTAAGAGTTGGGGTCTATAGCTTCTGGAATCCCCTAGCCAGCACTACCAATGGGCTTGGTATCTTGGAGGTAATGAGAAATGTAGCCCAAAAAAGGAACTTTTCTGAGCCTGTCCGGAAGCCATTGGTCTTCACCTTCCTGCTCTGCATGCCTGCTGCCTTGGAAGAGAATTCCTCCATATAGGTTCCAATATTTCTGTCCCCTCCTGCCTTTCCTATCTAGCTCTAGTGAAGCCACAGCTGGAAACTGAAGTGGGAGTGAAGATCCTGCAGATGGGTGTGGGACAGGTAAGTTTGGATGGATCAGCCTTGCGATATAGGAGCGGTGCTGGACTGAAGCTTTCTGAACTATCTGAAGCACACACACACACACCCCCGGCTAGTTTTCAACAGCCTGCCCTTGGGGTGCAAATGCAATGGCACCTGGTGACCAGGAGAGGGAGCACTGAGCTACTCCTCCTACTTCCAGCTTGTCATGCTCTGTTGAGTTAGAAAAGAAATGCAAGGGCTTCAGGATGGGTAAAGGAAAGTGGAGAGAGTTCAGAGAAAACAAGTTTTTTTTGAACTCACAAAATCCCTATGATTCTGGAAGTTACACTAATCACTATTTTACAAAGAGTAACTTATCCACACTCTGGAGGTGGGAGACCTGGGGACTGTCGGGTAGTACTAGCTTTGGAGCAGGGCAGAGGATGAAGACAGAGACACCTTTTTTTCCTCAAGGGGGGGCAGCAGCCATTTTGCTGCAAGGATGGTGGGAATGTCAACTGATGGGGGATGCAAGCTGGATAAAAGTGCATCTTCCCCTTTGTACCTCCATATGTTATAGAAATCCCCCCCCCCGTGAAAGCTCAGTTGAGATGCATGTCTTCTTCCCGCAGCGCAACGAGGCTGCAACATACCCACATCCCACACACTTTGGAGACACCTTCCGCTCTGTGCTGCTCACATTTGTGCTGCTGGCCTGTGTGGCTGGCATTGTCATTGCCGCTGCTGTGGTCTTCTGCCTGCGCCAGCATGCCAAACAACATGAGAAAGAGCGTCTGGCAGGGCTGGGCCCCGAGGGAGCAGCAGACAGCACCTTTGAGTACCAGGTACTGGTTCATGGATAGGGTGGGAGACCAGTCTTGTGTGATTGCTTTGTGTGCCAGAATACAAAGGAAGACGGAGATGGTAGGATAGACTATCTTGATAACTACGACGATTTGTGAATTTGGGCGATTTGTCCAAGTGCCAGGAACCGTGAAGGCTTCAAAGATCTGGGTCTGAAAGGAGAGTTTTTCAGAGTCTCCCTTTTCCTCCGGTGAGCTCAAAATAGTAGTGTACCCATAGTTCTCCTCCTTTTATTACCCTCACAAGAGCCCTGTGAGGCAGATCAGACTGAAAGAAAGTGACTGGGTCAAAACCACTCAGTGGGTTGTCACTGGCTCAATGAGGACTAGAACCCAAATGTCCCTAGTTCCATACCCAACATGGTAACCACTACAGCCCATTGGCTTTCTTCCTCATTCCAGAGGGTGTGCCTCCTGTTCTAACTAGTCCTCCAAAGAACCAGAGGATTTAAGTTGCAGTTTCCTTCTGGAGAAGCAGGAGTTGGCTCCCAGTACAGGCAAAAAATGAATCATCCCATGATTTTTTTAAATCTCCCTGTATTCATTGTAGTATCTCTGAATGCAGAAATGAAGGGTGCTTTTTTGGTTGAGCTGCTTCTTATACGTGTGGGCTGGATGTTTGTTCTGTGAACGCTGCCCCTCCCTATGTCAACTCTTCATGGCTGGTGTGTGCGAGCTGTTCCAGCTGCGTCTTTCTCACAGGAGCTATGCCGGCAACACATGGCTGCCAAGTCCCTCTTTGGCCGCGCAGAAGCCCCGCCGCCCCCGGCCCCAGCAGAGAACTCCCGCGTCAGCAGTGTTTCCTCCCAATTCAGCGATGCACCCCAGGCCAGCCCCAGTTCCCACAGCAGCACGCCATCCTGGTGTGAAGAGCCAGTACAATCCAACATGGACATCTCTACCGGGCACATGATTCTGGTGAGGCACAGCTGCTTTCTCTCTCGCTCTCTCTGTATTATGGAGAGAGGTTTTATGGAGGCAGGTTCGCTTGCTGAGTAGAGCTTTGATCTGTGCATATCCTGTGGAGCCCTGTTGACCGCTCAGTGGGTGAAAGGGCACCTCTCCTTTCGGCCAGTGAGCAGCAGCTCAGGGCTCACATTGCCATAGCAACAGAGGAAGCTGCTTGGTACAGAATCACAGCATTTGCTCACCCAGCCCAATATTGTCAACATGGACTGACTCTCCAGGGTAATTCTTTCCTTGTTCTGTCTTGGAGATGTCTGGAATTGACCTTTAGAATCTTCTGTTTGCAGAGCATGGCTCCTCTTCATGAATTTCTTGTGGTGAGGGAATGGATGCCTGTGAATATAACATACAATAATACCTCAATTAGTGTTCAAGATTCATTCCAGGAAAAGAGTACTCATTAAATCAGTACTAAGTGGGCATTGTGCTGGAGTCCTAGTCTACCTCCAACATGGAGCAGGTATGCCAGGGCCCAGGTCTCCCAGAGGCCTGTTCTACCTCCTATAGGCAGAGCAGGCCCCTGTTGAGCACCAGAAAATGGCCACCTGAGCATGCGTGCGATACCAAATCAGGGTTATACAGGGCCATGTTACGCAGGGTATGACTGAATGTGTGAATATACTTTGCCTCTGTTGAAAGTGGATGTTCAAGAGGTGGTATCTGCATGGGTTACCCTCTGCAGGCATACATGGAGGACCACCTACGCAATCGCGATAGACTAGCCAAGGAGTGGCAAGCGCTGTGTGCCTACCAGGCTGAGCCAAATACCTGCAATACAGCTCGGCATGAAGACAACATCAAGAAAAACCGCAACCCAGATTACGTGCCCTGTAAGTATATGACAGACACTTTACACACAAGCAGCATTGTGGGAGAGAGCTTTCCTAGTATTTTGTATTGCATGGTGCTCAGTACTGTGCTGGACTGGGGTGAAGGCTGGCCTTGTACATGGCCTTGAGATGCAGATGTGTGTCAGTAAGAACTTTTTTTTTTTTTTTTTTTTTTTTTTTTGCTTGAGTGGATGAGGGCTTATCCTCCTGAATTCCAGCCTCTGGCAGGCTAAGGCCAGAAGAGGCACTCTGCCTGCTACTTCAGGGCCTCTTGCCTTGGCTGATCGTCCTTTACGTTTATCCTGTTGTTTTCAGACGACCATGCCCGCATCAAGCTGAAAGCAGAGAGCAACCCATCCCGGAGTGACTTCATCAATGCCAGCCCTATTGTGAGTGACAGATTTACTGCCTTGATATTCCATTGGAGCCTGGGCTTCTACTCCCTCAATCCCCCAGCCAGTGTGGTCATGAGCTGGGATAACCTGAGAGTTTTAGTCTAAAAAAAGGAAATATCTCCCAAACACTATACATTCCAGGGCACCCTTGAACCCATTTAAATCACTCTCACTGCCCCACTGTAAGAGAACAATGCTTCCATCAAACACCTCAATTTTGGAAGTGGCACTGCCAGAGATTCTGGGTCCCTCTACTACAGTACTGCTGTATATGACCCATGCCCATTGTCCAAGAAAGAGCAGCTCCCATTGCCTCTGTAAGGCTTATTCCTTGGCCAGCCTCTAAGAAGAGCCAGCACAGGAGCTGGCTGGCATCTCACTTTCCCGGTGCTTGGTCAGCGGCTCTTCAACTGAGTTCAGCTGACTTATATTTCTGAATTTGCCATGCCCTTATTGCCAAAGTGGAGGGAAAAAGCCAGATCACTCCAAATGCTGTCTCTCACTCACCTTCCACAATCAGGCAGTCTTACACTTCTTGGTGTGAAATCTTGCACTTCACAACAGGACAAAAATCTACTTGACTAATTTAAGTCTTCTCTTCTCAAGCTGTTTTGTGCACCCTGTCATCTTGGAAAGAGGCTTTATGTTTCTCTCTTCCTGCCCTCAATCAGAGATATTGAACAAGTGTGCATTGACAGCAATTTATGCTATTAAGTGCAGCAGTGTTGTGCAGTTGTACAGTGCAATTTACATCAGCTGGAATGGTGGTGTTTCTCTTCTTCACCCTCCCTGCCCATAGCCCCCCTGCTGCTTATGGGGTTGTGTGCCTGGATAGTGGATGGATTATATTTCTAATAATACCAGGTTCAGACAAGATCTCCAGCAAGAGTTATCGGAGTGAGCAAAGTCAAACAGCCTTCATCAGCCTGTTGTCGTCCAAATATGTTGGAGAATAGTATACTCCCATCATCTCACTGGCACCAGACTGGAAAGCAAATAATCTTCAGCAGACCCTTTCTTCTTGAAGTTTGGCCCCTTGAGCCTCCTGTCTCTTCCCTCTACTTTTGCTCTGTCCCTGTCACGCCCTGCCTTCCATCAGGAAGCCTACAGTGCCTGCTTTTTCCCCACTGCAGATTGACCACGATCCACGGATGCCAGCTTACCTCGCTACACAGGGGCCATTGTCACACACCATTGCTGACTTCTGGCAGGTGAGACCATGGGTAGCCAAACTAGAGAAAGTGTTTTATGCTTGAAGGCCTGTTTACCTCAAAAGTGCTTGAAAACCCCTTTTGGAACTATAACTTCCAGATCCTGGCCATTGGCTAAGGATCTCTGAGAACTGTAGTCCAAAAGAAATACATTTCCAGTTCCTGTTTCAGTGCTGGGGGTTGCCTTTTGATTGGGAATGGATGATGATGCCAGCCATAGCAATCTGTTCAGGGTAGACAGAGCAATTAATGGTGCTGGACTACTCTTCCCCATGTCCCCAGTTAGTATGGACTTTGGCCATGCTGGGAGTGATGGGACTCGTGTTCTGCTACAACTGGAGAGCTTCATCTTGTGGAAAGCTGCTGTCCAGAAAGTTTACATCCTAGGGTGCAGGCAGGCAGGACCTTTATGTGTGCCACTCTGAGATGTAGCAAATGAATGAAATGAACTGGCAGAGCCATATGTTTAGCCTTTTGAATAATTCATTTTATTTCTTTTAGTAATGGGTAGAAAAAAAGTGAGGGAGACGAAAAGGTAGGCAAAATGCAGAAACGTCATCACTGAAGCTTGTCCTTCTCTTACTTCTCTCTAAATTTTGGATTTGACGGGGCACGGCCTAGCTTTTAAACTTACTTTGGCAGCCATGAGAGACTGAAACCTGTGCTCTTGCTTCATTTGTGTGCGTTTTTTTTTAAAACAGAAGAAGAGGTTTCCTGTATACTAACATTTTACCTGACACAGTCTCAGATGTGACTGTGGGTGCATAAACCATGCCTGGGGTAGGTTTCAGGCCAGACTGGCTCACCTCTTGTCCAGGACGAGGTGGAAACGGAGCCCAGCCTAGATAAGAAGAGACACCCAGAGACATCCTTTGGCGAGATTGCTTTGCTCCCAGTCCTGCCTCAGTGTCGACTTGAACACATTCTCCTGCACCCTTTTCTCAATGCTTCTTGGTGTGGCTTTTGCCTTCTATTACTTAAGCGAAAGTGGGGGGATGCTTTGGGGCACAAGGAATCGCTGTTATTGTTGACAGTATTTATATTTTGCCTTTCCTCCAGTGGGCTTGAAGGGGGCACAGGTGGCTGTCCTGACCCACACGTGATCCTCACAACAGCCCAGGTGGCAGCTCCAATAACGCCTATTGCTTCTCTGTAGATGGTCTGGGAGAATGGCTGCACGGTCATTGTAATGCTGAGCCCGCTGGTGGAGGATGGAGTCAAGCAGTGTGACCGCTACTGGCCTGACGAGGGCTCCTCACTTTACCACATCTATGAGGTGCGCCAGAGAACCCCCTGCCCCAAGAGCCTGCTCAGCTGATACAGTTGTTCTCGTGATAAGCAGCAACCCCCTAAACTTGCTGTGATTAATATGTTTCAGAGAAAGGAATCCTAATTTGCTCCTCTTTCTGTTTTAAGGGTGGGATGGGCCACTGTCTGTGGATCATGTCTGACCCTTGAGGGTGCTGCTGTGTCCTTTTGGCTGTGTAGGAGCTACTGGATGGGCCACTGTCTGTGGATCATGTCTGTCCCTTGAGGGTGCCGCTGTCTGGGGCTGGACTGGTTTCAGCCATGTGGGAATGCAGAAGGGAGAGGATGCCATCCCCATGGGAAAGATTCATGAAGCTGGCATTGCCATATGCAGTCTGAAATCAGTTGAGACCACATCACAAAAGAAAGATTTTTCTAGAGCCTGCCTGCCTGCCTGCCTGCCGGCCTTTCACGACATCAGTCCCTTTCTGTAGCCTCAGCAGCAAACCTCTACCACAGGGATGAACATCAGTGGCGGATCCAAGGGCTGTATTCGATCACCCTGGACCCCCTGAGGGCCTCACCCCCTCCCTGTCTGGGTTTGAAAAAGCCAGTCTGGAGGCCAAAACAAGCGGGGGGGGGGTTTGCAGGAGTGAGACATGTTCTTTTCAAGAGAATCTTTTCCTCTGGAAATTTCTGGAGGTCAGTTCTTCATTTTGGGGCTACTTTTTTTTAAAGTGATGTGGAGGTCCCTCAGGTGGAGAGCACAGAGACAGCACTGAGAGATGCAGAAAACCTGTGAGCCACACGATTCCCCCACCTAACTCTGCTACCCACCCACATTAGCCTCAAAGTGAGGATGAGCAGTCCAGCAGTTCGTGTATATTCAGAAAATGCAAAAAAGCTGGGTTCTGAGTAGCAAAAGCATGTTATTGCCTCCAGGCCCGAGGCATCGCCTGCCCTTGATGGAACTCCTAAATCATTTAGCATGATTTCATTCCTCTCATGACCCTAATTCACTCTCCTATTAGAGGTGCAAAGGAGGTAGTTGATGCCACGTAGTTCTGCAAGGGTCTTGTGTGACTGCAGTATTAGAGGTCAGCAGCAGGCCTAGGAGTCACCACCTCTAGTCCTGATGGTGAAGGGGCCCCGGGGTGCCCTGTTTGTCTTGGCAATTACTGTGGCCTCGTTATTATTGGCCTGCTCTTCCCCCCCCCCATGCACACGTACACCCAAACTCCCATGTGTGCTATAGCCAATTGCAAAATGGCAGAACTGTAGCTGCCAGCACAGAATAATGAAGCATCTTGGGAGGACTGAAAGGGAAATCAGGGGACTGGATGGGTTATGATATGAAGGATGGAGACTAACAGTGAGCGTCTTCACTCCCCCTCTCTCCTCCCTCCCCCACCCCACAAACTTTGGTACCTTCATTCAGGTGAACTTGGTTTCGGAACACATCTGGTGCGAAGATTTCCTGGTGCGCAGCTTCTACCTGAAGAATGTGCAGTCTCAGGAGACCCGGACTCTGACACAGTTTCATTTCCTGAGCTGGCCGGCAGAGGGCATCCCCACCACCACCCGGCCTCTTCTCGACTTCCGCAGGTGCGGGGAATTTCACTGACAAGGCCCCGACCTCCACCGAGCCTAATAAGAAGAGGTGGTGCCTGGAATGGGCTTTGCTGCTACGTGTTCTTTGGGATAGCATTGGGGAAAGGGATTAGAATTCCGAGCTCGCGGGGCTGAGTTCCAGAAAATGTGCTCTACTGGGTTTCAAATTCTGCCTAGTAATTTGTTACCCTTCTGTTCATGCCATGACAGAACCAAAACATCTGGCCAGAGAAAGGTTTCCGGGGCCAGTGTTAAGAGACCTTCTGGGGAAAAGGGACTAAGGAGCAGGCAGCTCAGAAGGAAGGGCAGAAGGAAAGCTGTCTTGCGATGTACAGGAATGGGTGCCAGCATTACCCTGTCATGAAACCATTTAAAGCAGGCTGCACTCAAGGAGGAAAGCTGTGTCTTTTGCCCCTTCCTCTTTTAAAGGGCATTCTCCTCCTGTCATGGTGGATGTCATGGGTAAGAGCTGATGGACTTTGGTGGAAATACTCCAAGACAGAATTAGGCAACTGGTGGACCTCCACGCCTCCCCTCAGCATCAGCCAGTATAGCGAACAGTGAAGGCTAATGGGAGCCGTGGTATCTGGAGGGCCACAAGTTAGTTCCCCTCCCCCCCCATCTGTTATAGTTTAGGGTCTTTCTAATGAATGCAAATTCTTACTTTCTTCTTCCCTCCTAAAAGCTCAGTGCTAATTTCGTTTAAAGCAGCCTGATACGTCTCTTTGCCTCTCAATGACAGTAAGGGTAGAAGTGGTTAACACTTGCGGGACCGTTAACAGCATTGCTCCAGTCCCTGAGGTTTCATTCAAAGGGGTGTCACACCAAAACACAATGGATGTGTGCTTCTCTTTTAACCAGGAGCCCTTCGTTGCATTAAACTTGTCCGTAAGAAACATTCTGATGAATGAAGCAGCTCTCCTCTTGTAACAGCTGGGAAATGTAGTGCCTTTTAGGGATTTTCTCTATTTTTAATTCATCTCTGGCTGTAGATGCAAGATGGCTAAGACCACAGTTTGGTACTGTATACTCTTTCTGTGGGCATGGAGGGAGGGGAAGGAGGCAGCAGATGTGTGACCTGGCATGGTCTATTGCTTAAAACAGATGACGCACCCCATTAGAGATTAGCATTAGCTGTGTGTTCTGAGATTTGTAGTCCAATATGTAATTTTCCCTGTTTAGAACAACCACCAGTATTGGCCTTGGAGACAGATGCTTCAAAAGGTTCTAATGCAGGCAATGAAATTCTGGCTTCATTTCTCTGATTCTTAATGTTCTGGGTGGCAGAGGAGATAGGTTGTGGAAGGGAATGTATGGGTCCAGGGTAGTGGTTGCTGCAAAGGTCAGAAATGCAGCAACATTTACTCTGTCGGTTGGATGGAGGGAAGTGAAGGGAGGAAGGAGATGTGCAGCCAGACCTTCTGGCTTCCCCCTGTTTCAACAGGATTCTTTTTTCAGGAAAGCTGACTAAAGAGAATTTCCCCCTTCATATGTTTCAAAGCAATTGCAGTTCATGGTTGATGTCTCCCTCCCTCCCTTTCCCTGATGAAGATCTTTCCTGGGGCAACACTGTGGAAAGAACAGTGTTAAGAGAGCTGAGGGGATCCTTCTCTTACCTAGAGTTCCTCTAGGGAGTGGTTGACCCGTCATGGGCATCTTACACACAACCTGCTTTCAAAGTTATTCTAACCTGTGTTTTATCCCTTCTCTCTTGTCCCTCCCGTCTGTTTCTCTTCCTCCTCCCTTCTTGCATTCGCCTGTCCTCCCCAGGCAGGTGTGCGGAGACGCCTGTTGACTGGTGTTGGGTGCCAATATGGGGCTGTGCTTTTTATCTTAGCAGGCAGGCATCTCTGACATTTGATACCACCGCTGTGCCTTTTTGGAAGCTGTTAGAAATGCTTTTTGTGGCTTCAGGCTTGGAAGATGGTAGGGAGAGAGAGAGAGAAAGAAAGGCCTGAGGGCTGGAGGCGCCGTGGTTCCTATTGCTTCCTTTGAGTTTCTCCCACCAGTGTTGTCAGTAGCATTTGGAAGCTCAGTGTACACATCCATGGCTGGTTACCTGGATACCCCACCCGTCCTTCAGTGAATATGTGGATCTCAACCTCCTTACTTTCTCCTCCTAACAACCACCCAATGGGGCAGGCCTCTCCGGGAGACAGTGATTGGGTCAAAGTCATTAAGTGAGTTTCACAGCTTGACGAGGAACTAGAATCTGGATTTCCCAAGGTCCCATTTTATACTCTGAACTCTCCACCACACAAGTTGCAAGGTGAGAGGATCCTGGTTTGTCTTCCTCTCTCCCTTTGTGCCCCACTCTGGCCTCCTTGGTGCTGCTTTCTCTGTGAGGCTCTATTTGCAGGGAGCACTCTGTGGCGCTCTCTTAGGTTTTTCCTCTCTGCCTGCCATTATATAATGCTTTCTTTCTCTCTCGCTCACTCTCCCTCCTTCATCACCACTTCTCCTCCTTCTCTTCTTCTCCTTCTCTCTCTCTCTCTTTCACAGCCGCCAGTGTCATTTTTGTGATTTGCAGCTAGTAATCCTGGCCCAGTTGCATAGTCACAAAAGTGATCATTGGCCGCTGTGCCAGCTGCATGGAACAGGACAGGGCCCAGGCTGCTGTTACGCCCCATCTTCTGCCTCCATCTCCTCTCTTGTTCTCCCAGGCAAAAGTCAAACAGGCCCCCAATCTAGCTGCCATATCTCATGCAGGCTTCTGCTGAAGAAAAAAGCTACCGGGCATGGCAGTTGTGGGTGGATGGAAGTTCTGTGTCTTAAGGCAGGAGGTCTCCTGGAATGGTGGGACTTCATCTACGCGTGCAAAGACTAGTGTGGCTCTCTGCCACTGTGAGGAAGTCTACATGTAAATGCCAATTGTGTTACTTTGACCCAGAGCACATCTGGTTCCACTGCCTGCCACTTAAATTGCCCCTTGCAAGCAGCAGGCTCTGTGTGTGTGTGTGTGTGTGTGTGTGTGTGTGTGTGTGTGTGTGCGCGCGCGCGCGTGCGTGCGTGCGTGCGTGTGTGTGTAGTTTTATGTCCCTGTTTGTTTTCTAGCTTCTATGTGTTGTAGGTGGAAATTTTGCAAATCACACAGGAGACGGCTCAAGGATCTCTCTCTCTCTCATGTTTGCATGCCATGCAAAGGTTTGGGTAGCTGTTTTGTGTCAAAAAGCTAAATATTAAGGTCAGGACACTGCACTTGTAGGACAACATGCCCTTGTTTTTTACATCTCCACTAAGGCCACCATGAAATAGCTAGCTTATAACTAACCCAGGCAGCATCTGTGCTCTTTGGTTACATTACTTCTTACTGTTCAGGTGGTTTGCCAACAGGCTGTGATGCCACACAGGTGATGTATTTGAGTGAGCTCTTAGTAAACAAAAAGAAAACTTGTTTCAGAATGCTAGCAGAGGATCTAATTCTATATCCAGTGAGAGGAAAACAAGGATTCTGTAACTGGAAAGAGAGAGCAATCATTGTCAATTGCTTATAACAGGCTTACTTACACTGAGGAATCTTGCAGCTTCTGGCACCACATCAAGGAGGGCAAATAGCTTATGAACAGAACAGTAAGTGGACAGGATGAACCCAAAGTATTCTGCTGCCTTAAGCAGAGTAGCCAATGGATCCCCGCATGCACACACCCAAGTTAAGATGCACGGTACCAACAGCCCAGTTATTTGGGTTCATGAGACAGAAACACCCACAAGTGTTTCTCTCACATCCACAGCAGTAAAAGTAAATCGGGTGGGGTGAGGGGTGGACCCCATTTACTGCCATTGGATGACAAACTCAAAATCTGCTCCTTGAGACTGCAACTTTAATCAGTGTTGTAGTAGCTTATAGTTAAAGGTGACTTAATGGTAGAGCTGGCCTTTATAGTGGACTCTGGCATTATTGCAGTGGAACAGCTTCCTCAGATGTGTAACTAGCCACTTTTTGCACCTGAGGCATCATCCTCCACTCAAGGTGTGAGCAACACCGCAAGAAAATGAAGGAGAACATGTTGCACATACCCCGAGAGGAAGTTTGTGCTTTCAAAAAAAGAAGACAGAGCTCAGAGGTCTTGCCATTTACCGTAATTTCCTGGCACTCTCCATTAGACTCAACAATAAATTTTGGCAGGCAGTGGCAAAGCTCTGGTTGCTCTGGCTTAGTTACAGCATTCATGTCAAATACAGTCTTTTTAAAACGTATCTGTCCATGTGAAGTGCATTGTTTTGTTTAATACAATGAAGAGAAAACAGGCACTCTCCGGTTATTTGTCTACTGCGTCTTGTCAAAACATGTGAATTCTATCAGGAACGTGACCAATTAGTTTTAATTCACACATGAAGGTGATATCTGGGTGACTTGGTGGTCGCTAGAGGTGAAGGTTATCTTTATGTTGTTGGGATGCTGGGATTATAAATAAGCCATGTTGCTCTGCAGTGCATCATTTAGTATGAGGCTCAACATTTTGAGAGTGCGGTTTGTGTGTGGGTGGCTTTTGGGCACAGAAATGGAATTGAAACTCCTGCGTGGTGAACTGAATTTGTAAAATCCATATTAAGGGTTGGCCAGTTGGCACCTGGGAAAGGGTGAAAAACAAAGGCATTTTGTCCACTAGTGTGCACCTTCTGGGCCCTGTGATCTCTTGCTGGACTTCCACATTTCAGTGTCTTGGCTGCTTTAGAAAGTTTTTCAGATGCTCAGTCTGGGCCGTGAGAGATACCATCTTCCAGGTGACTTGCAAAATTTCATATGCATCCGATGTCCACTTGGGTATGTTCAGCTGCTCACTGGAAGTGAAACCTGTTGCTGAGATGGGTCACCCTCACATCCCTTTCTTATATTCCTTTGCTGTGCAGGGGAGGGGGGAGGGGATGTGAATGTGAATCGATACGGGTGTGGCATGGCTCCATAGAGATGAGGAGGAAGCCCAAGCAGAGCTGCCCTCTGACTCCAACCTCTCCTTGTTCCAGCAGGAAGGTGAACAAATGCTACCGGGGCCGCTCATGCCCAATCGTCGTTCACTGCAGGTAATCATACTCTAGGTTAATGGGAGAATCACTCTAACAGCAATTGGAGAAAGTTGGGGTAGCGCCCTGGAAGTACCACCTTGTCAAGATTTAGAAAACAGTTTTCATCACCAGGGTACAGAGAGGCAGAGAGTGGGCTTTTGTGGGTTGGGAGGGGTAATGTACTCAGCTGAGTTACCCCTTGCAAGAGAGTCTTTCTCTTACAACTAAATAGTGCTGTGAAATCTACACGGGGCATCTGAAGGGACTGGCAGGGCTTTGCTGATTTGAGGCCTCCCATCTACCATCTAAGTAAAGGCATTTTGGGTGACTCAGAATCTAGCCCCTTCACCAAGGGCATCTCTTTTATCTTTTACAGTGATGGTGCAGGAAGGACTGGGACATATATCCTTATTGACATGGTTCTGAACCGAATGGCCAAAGGTGAGAGGGTTGGAGAAAGAGCCCATCCATACAACTCCAACTTGACTGCTTTGTGGGCCCAAATTTCCAGCTGCACAATATCCATTCAAATATCCTACTCCCTCAGGTTATTCCTAGAAGCTTCTGCCCCTCTCATCTACTCCCTCTTCCATAAGGTTTCCTGTCTTGTCTGCATCTATCTCCAATTACTTCCACACACTGTGACCTCCATTTTGCTTCCATATGTGTGGTATCTCCTAGACACATCCACAGCCTTCCTCGTCACCAAATTCTGACCCTCACTTTCACTTCTGTGCTAGGTGTGAAGGAGATTGATATTGCAGCCACCCTGGAGCATATACGGGACCAGCGGCCTGGCATGGTGCAAACTAAGGTACATTTTGATGCTCTGTATCCTGTCCAAGCCAAAGTGGAAGCTGCTTTTATGGGATGACACTGGGTGCAGCAGGAACTTTGCTGTTAAGGGACAGGCTCAAGCATGGCATAAGAAGCCATTTAAACACAAGGTATCTGGGTTGGCAAATATCGGGGAGCTAAGGGGCCATTGCCCACACTTCTTTTGATTAGTTCTAGGACTCAAGATACTGTGTTTTGAGAGCGTTAGGAGGAGAGGGCTTTCAGCAGGAGAAATGACGGCTGGATTTGGTCATTGGCACTAGGAGGATTAAGGCTAAAGTGTTTTTTTAAAAAACTGTTGAACCAAAGGCATCTTCAGTTTTCTAACCCTGGCCACCCTGCTGTAGAATGGGTTGCATGTACCTCCTCTGTCTGTTTCTGCTCCCCTTTGGCTCTTCTTGAACCCCACCCTGTTGAACCAAACTAATTTGCCTACTAAGAAATTACCACTCCTGCAAGCCCCTGCTGAATTGCAATTCTGCTTTAAACAAGGTGCAGTCATTCTCACCCAAAGGGTGACTTATGAAACCAGTTCTGGAGTTCTAGCCATTTAAACGTTTTAAGCATTGCAGAGGGCATGGCCTGTGGGTAGAAAACATGCCCTCTCTTTTCCAAGACCAAGGAGAGGGGGACTGAAGAGACACGGGTGCTCCCTGTTACGGTTTAAGCAAACTGCCTCTGTATTCCCAGGACCAGTTTGAGTTCGCACTGACAGCTGTTGCGGAGGAGGTGAATGCCATCCTGAAGGCGCTGCCACAGTGATGACCCCACTCAGCGCACCCTCGCTTGATGATTCCTCACCTTGCCCCCTTTGCCTCTGCTGTGCTGTGTCCTTGCCCAGGGGTGTTCTGCCTTCATTAAAGTCTGATTTCCATGTTGTTGGCCATGGCTGCATTTAAGTTACCTGTAGAGACACTGTCCCCTTACCTCCCAGTCCATGCTGGGTCCTGTCAGTCTCATGTTCTAACCTTTGCCCCTCACCTCCACCCTGCTTGGACTTAACCCGCCCAGGTTCCTATAGCAGCAGCTCCTGGTTGATGGGAGCTGGGTCATTGTCTGCTTTACCCTTCCATAAGGGCAGCATTCTAGGCCCCAGCTTGCCATCTTGCTAAGCTCCTTGGGGAAGCGAGGGGGGCTTGAACAGGGATGAGGAAGGAGTGGTCTTTCCCATGCCTGACTGTAACTCCCATCATCCCTTATCACTAGCTCCATTTCTTGGGCTTATGAGGATGACATTCCAACAACAGGGAACACCTCTTGTCCCTCCCTGCACCACTTAAGATATACTGTATCTGCTTTGCCTGGTCTACCAACATGGCGGGGATGGTGGACCTTACTAAGGATGGACCCCTGTGTCCCATTCCCATGCACAGAAGACTTGTGGCATAATCAGTGAGATTAATGCCTAAGCACCAAGATGAAAGCCCATCCTATTAAGCTATGAAGTTTCCATTCTGTAGTACAGTACCTGGAAATCAGTAACCCTTCAGGTGTTGGCCGAAGAGTCCCATCATCCCTCAACACTGGCCATGTTGATTGGTGGTGTGGCCAGACAGCTGCAGGCTGTCCATGCTGTGCTGAAGCATACCTGGCCTGTCTCTCTAGACATTCGAAATGGCTCCCGGGAGCTGCACCACAACAATGGTTGGGATAATCCTGCCCCCCAGCTTCACCTTTTGCCCTCCTCTCTCCTGCTTCCTTGCTGCCTGCAGCCAAGCACAGAGGAAGTCTACTCTGTGGGAGAAGATGGCCCTCCTGCTGCTCCCTACTGTATTTGTCTCCCTTCTCCCCACCCCTGATGTTACTCACAGCAAGAGGCATTTCCAGAGATTCTAATTTTGTATTTGATGTGAATAAAGTTTGTGTCGCATTTGTGTAGCTGCAGCCCAGCCTCACTCCTGTTGTGTACAATCACAAATAAGTGGGAAGGATGTGATCAGTCTTTAGCGTTTACTGAATCAGCACCCCACTCCAGGCAGACCACGTCAAACACCACCCAGAAACACAATGCCAACTCACCACCTGAACTCCTGGGAGGATGCAAATGACATGAAGAGGGATTACAGCCTTGCAGCAACGTCCATCCCTTACCTGTTGGCTAAAAGAGCTGGCGAGAAAACAGCACACCTTGATTCTTGTTCCCCCAGCAAGCCTAGATTGCCCAGTTTAACTTGTGCAATGTAAAAAAAAGCCCAACCTAAGCCTCAAAACATAATCTTCATTCAACTGCTTACCATGCAAAGTGGCTTAGCATTTGCTAGAACCATAGACAGGGAATTCAGCAGCCATTTCGCAAATGCAGCCTCATCATCTTCAGTGTAGTCATCAACTTGCTCCTTGTTGCATTTTCAGAACATGTGAAAAGGATTTGTTCTGCCTAGACAGTGTCAGTTGTTCTTTGCCTGGGGAGCCCTATGTATCTGAGGGGCAGAAAACAGCCTTTCGACTAAAAGTCCATTTGGCTGCTCCTTGGACTCCTTTTCCAGTTCTATGCAAAGTGGGAGTCCGTGCATGCGTGCGTGCATTTCTATACCAGGGTGGGGAATACAGGACCCTCCAGCTGCTGTGGCACTTTAACTCCCATCACCCTATGTAGGAAGTATAGCTAATTAACCCAATCACCTTAGCAGAAATTTCTGACACAGGATTAACTGCAAAGAGGTTTATTGATAAATGTCTTCCATTCTATACATCAGGCCAACAGTTTTAAGTTTCTAAAGAGATCATTTGCCCTTTCCTCAAATTACATACATGTTGAGCAGGTTTGTGTTCATTGTTGCCCTGTGAATTCAGGGAGAGCGTTTCCAGCAGGATGGGGGAACAGGCAGTTGTAGCCTCCTCTTTCGTTGCTGATGCTATTGTGCTCTCTCTCTTTCTCTGGGAGGCCTGGTCTGGAAGAGTCCCTATTGCTCTGAAGGGAGAATCTGGTTTCTAACCCTTGGCTCTTGAGCATGTGGCCTTCACTGTGTGGGAAAGGGATGCCCTACGCCTCAACCTGAAGGCTCTCCTTCTCTGTCCCCAATCCCACCACAGGACTACTACAGAAACACAAAAAGCATTGTGCTTTATGGCCAAGGGGTCCCTTCCAGGAAGGCCTCCTTGCTCCCCCACCCATAACAACATTCCTGCCACCCTGAGTAGTCTGATGTCATCCATCCTCTCAGCAAAGTTCATCTCACTCCTTATGGAGGATCCTCTCGTGCAAGGCAAGTAGGGCACTGGTGAAGTAGGGGACCACCATCAGGAGGAGGAGGAGGCTTCCTGGGGCCAGGGAATACCCCTCCTCAGAGCAATTAGTTCAGGAGCATTGACACAGCTACTTGCACATCAACCAGGCTGCACCAGGCCTGACCCTCCCAAGCGAGTGAATACTACATGACACGCAGCAGAGAGGAACTAATGGGGAGGAAGTCACACACTCGGCCCCTGCCTGGCTCCCTGGCAGAGAGCTCAGGTAGGGAGGACAGAAAGCGAAGTCCAGGCTTGAGTAGCCTTCTGTGAGCACGAATGCTAGAGAGGCCATCCCCATGGCTCTTCCAGACTCAGAACACACCTGGGGAGACAAGCAAGGAGACAGGACAGGAGAGGAGGGTGGGTGGG